CCCACCCCCCCGGTGATATTTGATAACGAGACATAGTATTAATATATATATGATAGTTTAACAACATCATGAGTAGCAAGAGCACCTTGTTATCATTTAGCTCATTTTAGAGTTGCATTTGATTTAAATCTTGTTTAGCATACTTTTATAGAAACTTCAAATGCTGCAATGCCCTCTATGATGCACAGATATGGACACGGTGACACGGATACGACACGATACAAACACGGGATACGTCAATTATTGAAAATATATAATATGGATACGAGTTGGATACGGTATTATAATTTTTATATTTTAAAAATAGTGTATAAAAATTAAGTATTATATTAAAAATAATCTAGAAATAATAAGTCATTTAACTAGAATTTGTGTTTAATATGATTAATATTTAGGATGTCGAGAGTCAGACGTTGATGTCATGTATTAGTCATGGAGAGATGAGATGACAATGCTGTCAAGAGTCAAGCACCGATGTTACGCAGTAAGTATTGGACAATGATGTCAAGAGGGCATATGTTGCCGACATTTAAAGGGCATTGGTTGTGGATGTTAAGACGACATTGGACAAAGATAAGCTGTCAAGTTGTGAGTGTAGAAATTGCTAACATCGAGCATCAATGTCAATGGTTTTGAAATGTCGATGTTGTAATGAAGTCACATGTCGATTTTGAGATGACATTTGATATTATTATGAAACTAAAGTCGCAACCCGTCAAAGAGAAATAAAAATGACAATATTCGATTAATGGGGTATTATGTGCGGGCGATTGATTTTGCGTTGTGGATAGGAAATTTAAAAAAAAATAATTTTTATATTTTAAATAAATAAAGATTTTAAATACAATAAATTATATTTAAAATAATTCATAAAATATTTAAGAAACGCATGTCGGACACATGTGTTCAATTTGTATTTAATATTTTTTAAGCATACACATTTTTGGCATATCCGACACGTATCGGAGGAGTGTCGGATTGCATCATAGATAGTAGTCTAGCAAAAATAGTTCATTATTCGTTAAAACTGTTGAGTAAACTTTTTCTTATTTACATGAATGTATTTTATCATTTATAGGGGGAACAACTTTGTCATCTAGAGCATGCCAAACTAGTCTGTAGTTTGTAAGGTTTCGCCTTTCTTTTTCGTTCTTTCTTTCTTTTTTTTTTTTTTTTTTTTTTTTTTTTTTTTTTTTTTGCATTTTTTAATATATGATGTAGCATTCCATGTGTACTTAGGGTATGTAATATATTCATTTTCTTAGCTGCAAGCATCGAAGGAAATAAGCAACCATTATTAGACATTTATAACACCAATCAATGCAAATGATGTATCCAATCAATAAGCTAAAACACAAATTAGCTTAAAAATGCAGATATAGCTCGTCATTTTTTTTTGGAGGAGATATGATGAATGATAAATTGCAAATTATGCTGCTTGATTTTATAATCTTGAAAGTAGGACAATCTCCTTTAACTAAACTATGCTTCACAAGAAGGAATTTTTATAATTTTAAAATTATTATTACTATTATTATTATTACTAGATTTTGCTTATAATACGTGGAGGGATATTACTTGAAGCATGAAGTTACTACGTCAACAAAAGCCTGGAAAAATTTATGGTATTTGTCTAATCCATCCATGGCATAGAGTTCATATCTTTCATTTGAATCTATGACATCAAAATCACTATTCATTCCAGCACAGGATCACCAAAAGAAACTCTTAGGAATGATAATATGTGATAAATATAGCGTAACCACCTCAACAAAGTGTGTTGAGCATTTTAGTTATGTATGTACCAAGCATTTATATGACTTATTATAGTAACTATCACTATTATATATCTAGTTATTATTCCACTCTCTTCATGCAAAACCATTTTCACTGAAACATCTATAAAAACATAAACAGATATTGATCAGAAGATCCAGTAAGTAACGTAAAATGCTAAAATTTATATCATTTTAATGATAATGAGGTGCATTACTTAAAAAATGGATAAGAAAAACTGCTTGTAAATTTCCCAGACACCTAACTTTTGATGTCCGATTTTGCCAGGATATTTTATAGAAAAATATCTCAAATATTTATATCATCATTATTATAATGACATATATAGGTATGATATACATGACCATCATCATCGTCATTATCATTAATAGCTCTGTTATTCCCATCCAAAATGAGAATTAAAACGGAAACGTTCTATATGGATAGAAGTAAGGATAATTTGTTCAGTTTAGCAAACGTTTATTGCTTATTAAAGAAATCGTTGGAATTTTGACCCATGCCTTACCTGTAATCAAATATGAAGATATCATTTAAAATAAAATTATTTTTAGCATATATATATAATGTCCTAAATGAGAAACAGAAAGTAAGGGGAAGATCAATGTTGGAGACCAAGAAAATATCACCTTAATTGAATGACCCTGATTTGCTCGGATTAGGAGACTTCCATTTTCCTCCAAAAGACTAAACCTTTGCTTATTATCTCTTCTTACTGCCTAAAAAGGAAACAAAATCATATAAATAAACTTATCAACACACACAGATTGACCTTGCAGTTTGAAATCAGGAAAGACAAAAAAGTGGAAAACCTCAGATCCTTTTAATAATTTAAAAAAAAAAAAGAGCAATGTGATTTGCGAACTACTTGCCCTGCCCAACTTTAGATTTAAAATTTCCCAGACTCACAAAAATGTAATTTCTCTACATTTTCCAAAAGTTACTAATTATTCCGTTGAATATATTGCCGAATTTATCCATCCTCAGAACTACAAGTGATACGGTATAATCAATGTTGGATAAACACACAGAAAAATTCAGGCTGTTTAGCTCAGTCAAGATAAATACCACGTATATTTATGATAAACCAATCAGGAAACAAAAACATTCCTAGTAAAGAGCTTTATCTTACAAGAGGAAGAAGGTTGCAAAAAAAAAACACATTAAATCAACTTTTGATATCAGATCACTCTCACTCTATAAGAATAACTTTTAATTACAAAAACACATTCAATTAACTTTTAATATCAAAAATTGACGTTAGAGTGAGGTTCTCCACATGACGTATTCACCCTTAGACTCTAACCTTAGTTTTACACCTCAAAAAAGCCACAAACTATGCGTTAAATTTATTTTTGCTCAATTTTACCGCACTAAAACTTGCACTTGAAGATTACTCCATAGGAACCAAGCTAAAAAGGCAAATAAAAGAGATGATCTACCCTAAGGGGACACTGATGTGCCTTGGAAGTAAAAAAAAGCAAATAAAGTAAGTAAAAAACTGCAGGAGTACGAATATTAGTTGCTGAATTTGGATTTCTTCATCAAAAATAAAGCAAGATACAATTGATCTACTATTCAAAAGGTCGATCGGTTCCCCCATAAACCCTAGACGCCGCTAGGAAACTATCAAAGAAAAGCTGCAGCATAAAAAAATTGCATAATATCAAAATAGCAACATAATTAGGTCTAAATAGACTCCACCTAACTCCCCCAAATCAGCCTCATTTTCTTAAATATTTAGGAAGATTTTAATTAAAATTGGGAGGGAATTATTTATGAAAAGAGTTTCAATTTGAATTACAGGTTCATGGGCCACACATAGGGGGGCCCAAATCCCTCCTGGATCTGTCCCAAGTTCCGCCGAGCCTTTGGGATGATTCGGTTCTTGCTGAGCCGGCTAGCTGGGCCCACTCCCCTCTCTGCTCCCTTCTGTTGTATCATACACCTCTCAGGAGATAATGCAACAAGATCAAGCACTACATTAAATTGTAAAACTAAAGGTAAGTTTTGATTTGATTGCATTCTATACTTTCAAAAGATTTTAAGTTTAAATTGAATTTTGAACTGCATTCTTTACTGAGTCAATATACTTGAGTGCATAACAAAGCATCTTAAGAACTTAAACTTCACCAAATCTACTCTATTTTTTTCTCCACCAAATCAATTCACATATTACTAATCCCGAATATATACCTAACTATTAAATTTATTTGACTTATGTTAAGAAAGGTAGAGGTAGACCTAAAAATACTTGGTTAGAAAATATTAGAAGAAATGACCTGTCTTTATTAGATTTAGATGAGAATTTGACTCTTAACACGACACAATGGAGAAAAAAAATTCATGCAGTCAACCCCAAAGGAAAAAAAAAATTCATGCAGTCAACCCCACAGTGGTTAAAGATTTGTTATTGTTGTTGTTGTTTTTTTTTTTTTTTTTGAAAGGCTTGTTGTTGTTGTATGAATAATTTGCCACTAATTAAAATTGGTAAACATAAAGAGGATTTATGTAAGCAATTATTTTATTATCAGGCTTAGATTGATCAAATTAAGTAACAATCCATAACGAAATGCATTTGGTGACAAGTGTGCTACTCTTCCTTTAAATATACAAGCACCAACACCACACCCCTAGGACAACCAAATAGAAGATATTTCCATCCTTGAATCACTGGTTTAATCTAAGGTTGATCAAACTAAATCTTTAATACAAGAAAAATATGAAAAATCTAACCGTAACTACTAGTTGTTTGTAGAACTTAAAAACATAAATGTTAATGTTGGATCTATACATGAGCATACTGAATGGGTTTTATCTTCATCACACAATGTTCAATCAACATCATATGCATGACTACAAGAGCATTTGATGATCAAGCTAACAATACACTGATAGGAAATAGTCATATAAAACAGAGAAAACTGCTTCTGAAATCAGAAATTCAGCAACCCCTCCAAGAATATTTTGAGATTTTAATGGAGGAAAAGCAAAAAAAAACATTTCTTGATTGAATAGTAGAGAAAGAAACAAACACGGTACAACGGATCTTCAAATAGAGAGGAAGATCTGTCTCTCCCAATCTCAAGAATGTTTTTTTTTTTTTTTTTGAAATGGCAATTTGCATTAGAAAATGAAGGGATACAAGCAACTAAAGATAGTAATCTCATTACTTCTTCAACAAATAAAATAAAGAAGAAGGAATGCAATTATCAGAAAAGCAATCAAAAGTAAAACTATTATCTAAAGCTAAAGTAGCACAGCAATCTGCTACTTTATTACAATTTCTAGAAATCAAACGGAAGGTAACATTATTAAAATCATTAAGGAAAATAATGTCTTTATTCCAATCTTCAAATTGTTGTCATTTCATCTTCTTCAAGGAATCATGAAGCAACTTGATCACATTATGGTTGTCTCCTTCAATAATAACTCCCTTGTATTGGAACATCCACCGTTGCAAGTGTTCTCTAAGCAAAAAGACAGCATGTACTTCAAGAGACGCAATATCTCAATGCTTAAACTACTTGCCAAAAGCACAAAGGAAACGCCTCTTATGATCTCTAATAATAACTCTCATATCCCAATCCCTAATCAACGACTAGAGCCGAAGCAAAAAAAAAAAACAATGATCTCAAACTTCAGACCAAAATTTAAGATCCCCCTAACTCTAGCCCCCAAAACCTATATAAGCATGCAATTAATTAAGCAATATCTCCAAACAACACTTCTAATTTGAATTTCCCTCCTAAACACACATTAAAACCCTGGGTCCAACCTATGCGAGAGGCGGCAATAGAGTGGGCAAAACCCCTCTGGTTCTGTCTGCAAACCCTGGTCGGTCCAGGAAAGACCTGCTGGGCTGGTCTATCAATACTTTCCCCCCAAAGAGCCACATTGTCCTCAAGGTAGAAAGGTGGAAACCGATGCTTTACTCTCTCATATGGCTCCCAGGTGGTGTCATGGTCAGGTAGATTCTTCCACTTAATTAGTACCTCCTTAAGACCACCCTCTCCCTGTCGTACCCCTTTTAGCTCCTGTGGTTCCAGCATGACCTCCAAATCCACTGTCAAAGTCCCCAATAATTCTGAGCTAGTTGCATGATCCCCAATACCTCTCCTCAACTGTGATACGTGAGTAGCAGTCGAAGATAACTTCAATCGATAAGCCACTTCTCCAATCAGTTCTACTATCTCATAAGGGTTGTTGTACTTTGGGCCCAACTTTTCATTCCTCCTGTGAGCTATCATCCTTTGTCTGTAGGGGCGTAGCTTCAAGTACGTCATGCCTCCTATCTCAAATTGGATGTCTTTCCTATACTCATCCACCTGTTTCTTGATAATTTGCAGAGCCCTCCGCAAGTGTCTTTTCAACTCTTCTAACACCTGTCTCTTTCCTCCAAATATTGTTCTACTGATGAAATCGGTGTGCTCCTTTTCCCAAATGTACCAAGTGAGGTGGTTCTCTTCCGTACAATACTTTGAAAAGGGTCATTTGTGAAGTTGAATGATAAGAGGGGTTGTACCAGTATTCCGACCATGCCAACCACTTAGCCCATGATCTAGGTGTCTTGGAAGCAAAACATCTTAAGTATGTCTCTACATTCCTGAGGATCTAGGTTTCATCCATTCCTTTATTTAGTGAACTCTAACATGGCAGAGGAAGAAGACTAAAATCTTAAAACAACTCCATAAATTTTTGTTGTTAAATTCCTCTTTCCATCTAATACTAAGAGACACCTATCCAACATCCATAAAAAACAAGCTCTATAAAGAATATGGCTTTTATAATGATAGGAAATAACTATAGATGTCATAAATGATCAACAAAAAAAATGCCTTTAGTGTAGGCTTACAAGAGATATAGGCACAAGACAAGCTATATCTTTAACTAATTGTTACTAAATCATATGTCAGATATAACTAAGTGTTGAAAATGGCCTATTTAGATATGGCCTCAATATGGCCTAGAGTTTCCTACTCGAGCTTGGTGTTCTAGATATTTGGGTGAATATAAGATCAAGCAATCTTAACATTAAGGATGTATGATGAGATATGCATTGAAATTGATTTTTTACTTATTTTACATCCCAATAATTAATGTAATTACTTATTTGATATTAAGAAAACAATGAATAAAAAGGATTCATGTAGCCGACCCCACATAGTGGGATAAAGGCTTGTTGTTGTTGTTGTTACATCCCCATAAAATTGTGTTTAGTGTTTATCAACCTATTTGGATTTTGTCAGGTTGATACCCAACTAAACATTGACTTTGACCTCTAAAGTCCAAAAATAATGTTCAAATCTCAACAAAACATAAATAAATGAGCCTCTTTCATAAAAAATCTATGGCTAGATCCTACAAAAATTAAGACTAGAAAATAATTAAGAAAATGAAAACAATAAAACATGCAAATATAAGTAAAATAAAATGGAGGAATTAAAAAAATAAGAGAAGTATAAATATTTTGATAACATTAGTATTAACATTTTAATTGAGTAATGCTAAACTATCCAAATTTTGTGAAGTAAACCAACAATTTCTCACAAACTACACACCCCTTCAATTAAATACAACTCTTCAAAACCAAGAGAAAACAAACTAAACTAACTCACAGCATCACAGAGCTATACCCGCGCCTCGATATTGACTCCTCTATCTCAAAACGAGCTTACAACGCTGTGTCTCTAGTGTCGTGGCACTAAACTCTCTGTCCAAAAAGGATCAGCGCCTTCGAGCTAAATTTACATCATTGCAGTACTGTATGGCCAAGAAATTTTTTTTTAGGGGCTTCACCTCCAAACCCCCATGCAGGGGCCACTGCCTCCCTATGACACCCCATTGAGCTCCTCATCAAGCTCGGCTAACTAAATTGAGGTATGAATCAATAATACAACTCAATTGATTGATACAATTAAATTTCACACTAAACTAACACCAAAAAGATCCATAAATTACCATATGGTTATAGTGGCTATCATGAATTGCTTCAATTAAAAGTATATAATGATCACTACAAAAAATATAAGATATTTGGCCTATATAAGTCATCACAATCAAAAAAGATATATAGTACTCAAAATATAGGGCCTTTAATCCATATAAATGTATTTATTAAAGATCAATTCATCGACCAAGATAGAATATTTTCTTATATTTAAATTATCCCTCAAACATAAGGTCTTTTAACCAAATTTAAAGATTTGGGCAAGAACAATGTTTTATTACATATAAGATGTTTGGCTCAAATATAACATGTTTTATAAAGTATGAGAATCCTTGATGATCATTAATTTAAAGCATTATTCTTTTTATCTATATTAAATTTACATAGAGAACCATATCCGACGAATCCAAAGCATTGGAAGCAAAGGTGTGGAATTGCTGGAAGACATGTCTTGGTTTCACGTTAATTTCATTAAGAGCTATTTCTGCTTACCTCCTTGACATCCTCAATCGTATGTGCTCTCAGTGGCACTTTAGCATAAGTAGTTAGATTCAGCTTCAATAAATCAGCAACACGAACATACCCATCACTTCTGATTTCCAAGTTCACCTCCGCGGCCATATGACGGAGAATCCTAGTCCTGAAAAATCAATTTAAATACCCGCACTTAAAAAAAGTTTAAAATTTACATGAGTCCTGAATATAGCCAATTAACAGAAACTGCAAAGAACTGCCCTGATTCCAAAAGAAAACAACTTTCAGAATAGATTTACAAGATTGGGATAGAGAACTACATTATTCGACCGAGGGCATCAATCCGATCATCCTCGCGGACGATAGCATCTCCCTTGCCAAAATCCCTACCCCGCCCTCTCCCGCTGCTAAGAGAAAATGCATCAAAAACACCGATGAGAACACGCAAAATGAAAGCAAAGTGATTGAAACTCGTCCAAGAGTACCTTCTCCTCGAGGCGGCGGAAGAAGAGAAGGGCTTCGAATGAAGGGAATTGGATGTATTCACTTTGTCCATGCGAAGCAGAAGAATAGGATACAGAGCACTTACTGGAGAGAAGCGGTCGGAGGAAGTTGATGAGTATAGAACTCGATGCGGAAAGAGTAAACGAAAGAGGCGGAAGGCAGACCAAGATGAAACCCGCATCGAGTGAATTAGGCGCCTAAAGCCACCGAGATTGTTATATGGAAATTTGCACGTGCATTAAATGCACGTTAATAAAAAAGCTCCAAGAACAACACACAAAAAGTGCACTAAATTAAAATATTCATATTTTTATATTAAAATATGATTTGTTTTAAGTTAGTAAATTTGCTTATGAAGTGAAATGAAGTGCATAAGAAAATAAATCATTTTTTATTAATTTATTTATATTATACATTCAAGTTATATTTTGAGAAAATTAAACAAAGAAAAGGAGACCAAAGGAAGCATTATAGTTCTTAGATCAATGTTAACATCATGAATTATAACAATTACAAATGAAAAAAAAAAAAAACAGGAGAAAAGAGAGTATAGATTAACAACAATGAAATAGCACGCAATCCATCCACCTCTCTTTGATATAAGAACATGTGTGCCTTTGAGATCAATGGAGTCATCCTTCGTGAAAATTAAACTCCCACTCTCCGAGCCATTAGCTTCTTCCATCTCTTATGTTGGATTTCTTATTTTCACTTAAATCAAGATATATAAAGAAAGAGAAAGAGCACAGACAACTCGTCATCACTCATTAGAGCTTTTTATCAGATATTATTTAACCATTAATTTATTAATTAATCGAGCAAAAAATGATTTGTAAAACAGTCACCAATTTCAAATTTCAGACTTCAATAATGGCTTGTTTGTATCATTCATAAATTGATAAATATTGCATTACTAAAACAAATAAAAGAAGTCAACAAAATTAAGCATTCTCTGACATTAATTCAGAACAAGCTTAAGTAAAAAAAGCAATATATCATATATTCAAAGATAAAGTATAACACATCATGCTCTCTAAGAACCTTATGTTTCACAATATTATGATGGTTAATTTTTCAAAGGGACTATAGAGCAAGTGTTTAGCATCTATTAAAATGAGATCCAACAAATGAATCAATTCATTTAACAAAAATATTATCTCAACTTCCCAAAGATTCAAGCACTCCTTCCAAAGGTAATAATTTTTCTTAATTTACTTATTGAAATGGTGTAAAAAATAAACAAATACTTGACTTTCATTAAAATGGACCAACATTTTTTCACCAACAAAGTATTTTTTGGGATCAATAGCATCAGAAGCCACCTCTTTCATATCCTAGTATATTTGCAGGTGCGAACAGGAAGGAATTGATGAAACAATTCAAAATACAATGAATTTTCTTTTGACTATAAAGAAATTAAAATCGTTTTCAAATACTGATAATACTACAAATAGCAATCAAAATTCCAATACTTATTGGAACTTATCTTCCATGTCCCAGGCATATGTTTTTTACAAAATATCACAAAACCAATTACTTGATATCAAGGATTTTAAAAAACAATATCATTATAAAATTTCAAAATTTATGCACACTATAATACAATTATTTTAAAATTTTATTAATATTGAATAAACTATATGTTCACATAAATTATATTAAAACATAAGGTAAAATGTACCCATCTTATGGATGAAAAATAGCTTAGAGATTAATGATAGATATTAGGCTCATATTTGTCCATTTATTTGATAAAATCCACATTTCCCTCTAATGCCGATATAATGAATGGAGATAATGCAATCATGTCATAGAAGAAGCAAACAAATGTTATATTTAATCTTAGCAATATTTTAAATGATGAGCAATAAAGTGAAATACCTACATGATGAAAAAAAAAATTGGCATAATATTTTGATAATAGTGTGTCAAGATGACAAAAAAAACAAAAAATCGAAGTTAGAATGTGTCTACATGTTGTGAGAGAGAATCTCTTTAAATGGAAAACTTATCATAGCTTCTTCAATGGTCCTCTCCTAACACCTCCAAATCATATTACTACAAATATGTTGTGCATCAAGAGAGCTAACATGAACAATGAGTCGGAATTAACCGACAATATTAAAATGAAAAAGAAGGAATATATGCTTTGTTTTGTAATAATTGAGGACTCTAAGCATGATAGAAAAGTGAAAACTAATGAAATTGACAGTTCTTCACAATACTTTGAGCAATAAAGAAGAAAACAAAACAATAAAACACCTCTAATGCTTAAAATTATTTTAAATTATCAGCTCTAAAAAATACAATTGTAGCACACATATGTTAGTGAATTCACCCAAAGGGAAAACCATCATAAAAGAAAAAAATATCAACAAATTGGGACGATCGGCTCGTCATCCCAACACCGCTCCTGCCGAGGATTGAACTTTCAAGGGTGTTTACATGCGTGAGGGAGGAGCTAGGATTCGTATCTAATAATTTATTTAAATTTTGTGTGTATTGAATATATGCTTCTTATTTGTGTAGCCTTATATCGATGTTAAGACCATGTTGTTTGAATTCTTGCAAATAAATAACATATTTTAAGAAAAAATGAAATTAACTGTAGGTGAATGTAATTTGAAATCAAAGAGTTTAGAAGAAAATCTAAAAAGTTTTGAAAGATAAGATTTTTATAATGACATGAGAAATGAGCAAGACATAAATCATAACTTAATTTGTCAAATTACCTTAAATCAAGTAATAAATTTGAAATTTATAATAAAATTAACGTCAAATTACCCTAAAGCATATGTAATAAAGATATTAAAAATCAAGAAACAATATACAATTTCTATTAAATGTACTCCTGATTAATATAATAATATATATTTTTTCATGATAGAAGGACATGACATTTACGCACTTAAAAAATGTGAGTTGTGCAAGAATATTGAAAGATAAAATTTATGAGAATCTTGTGGAAAATTTTCTTCCAAATATTGAAGCCAAGGAAAAATTCAAAGCAGTTGAAAGAGTAGAAGTTCAAATTAGTAAATCTTCTAAGAAAATATCAACATAAATTCATCAAATATAGCATGTTATGATGGTGAGAATTCAATGTGAGTGAAGCTGTGAGTATTTTTAGACTGTTAAATTTGCAAGTTAATATTTCCGAACTGTTAAAATTGAAGCAAGTCTATTAGCATTCCTATGTTTTAAAGGTTTATCAATATTCTTCATAATTCATTGGAAGTTTGTCTTGATTTGATGTCAATAACAGAGAATAGTCTGTTCAATTTATCCCTACTTCAAAAACAATGTCACAATATTTGAATTTCTTAATTGCCAGCATAACATCAAATTCAATCAACCTTATTACTTATTAATGAGAATTTCTTAGTTGCCAGTATATATAATTTATGTCCAAACTCTCTTTTCAACATTTATTTAGTATATTTAATAATTTTTCCTTCATAGTAGAAATTAAATGAGGAATTTTCAAATTATAAAAATATTTATTCAGTGTATTAAATCAAATTATAAAAGAAAAAAAATAGTTCAATACAGAAAAGATGGGAATCATAGAGAAAGCATAAATTAAATGACAAATTATTAAATATGTCTATGATACATTTAATTCAAATATAGCAGCTGGAGAAGAGGATAAAGAAGCAGAAGTGTTACTTAAATATAGCCATTGGGGAATTTGATAAAGTAGATGGGGTACTTATCTCGAACTCTATAAAGTGAACTTATCTCAAACAAGCGCATATGCAGCTACAGCTATGATGTGAATTATCTACAAGGAAGAAATAGCATCGTGTGAGAGGGAGATGAGTTCAATACAAGAAAGAAAGGAATCTTAGAGAGAACATAAATTAAATGACAAATTTTAACCTTCTCATTCATAACCTATTCAATCAAGTAAAATACTTAAGTCCTTATCAGATTATCGAATGAAAGCTTAACTTCTGTAGTACATGGACATGAAGCTTACCTGAACTTTGGGATGATTTGACATTAGGCTTTAGCATGCAGCTTCATTAAGATTGATTGCTCATTTCTAATTAGAAAGCAAAGAAAAGTTAGCTAAAGGAAGTAGAAACATTAAAAAAAAAGATGCATTGCAGACAAGGATCACTGAAATCAATAAAGTAGATTGAAGAGAGATACTTGTCGTCACAAGCTTTACACCAGCAACCTTAGCTCTGAGACAAATCAAAATATAGTAGTTGGGGAAGAGGATAAAGAAGCATAAGTGCTACTTAAATAAATATATCAAGTTGAGAAGATGATAGAGAAGTAGAAGGGTTACTTGTCTTGAACTCACAGATTAAATTTGTCCCAAACAATCAAGCGCCATAAGTAGCTGCAGCTAGGCTTTGAGTTTTCTAAAAGGAGGAAATAGCACACGAGATGGATATGCAAGCAGGTTCGCACGCAAGATGTAGAAGTTGTTTTGGTAGCAAGCTGTTGGGTTGCTCTCATGGCAGTTTGGGTGCAAATAAAAAAGCTAATATATATTTATATTATAGGAGGAGGAACGATTGTGAGAAAATGAAGGGTTGCAAGCGAATACAAAGTGTTTTTGAGAGCGGGTAATGGAATAGATAATGTATATCTATAGCGTTATGAGAAAAGGAAGCGCCGCAAGCGAATATGAAGGGTTATAGAATAGGAACGGTTAGATTTGAAGATGGAGGGCTACATAAAAAAAAAAGCATTAAATTATATAAGTATTATTTTTTTGAATTATTTATTATTTATATTATAATGGACAGTCAAGATAATTTAAGAAGAAATAAAATAAATAACTAAGATTTGCTAGGGAAGAAAACTCAAGCGTTCCAAGAAGCCATTTTTAACGTCTAAGTGATAAATCAACCACTTACATTAGTCTAAATGCAAGTGAAGAATACATAAAGGATATCATTTTAGTGAGAATCATTTTTTTTTTTTTTTAATTCAAACGATGGCTCTCAAGCGTTAAGAATTTCAACGGAGGGAAACCAAACATTAATTAATAGGATAAACGAAATGTTAATATGATATTAGTTAAACGATGATAAATTAATTTATCAGATTTACGTTAAACGAAGATATTTTTTCTAAATGTGCTTAAAAAATAAGAAAGATTAAAGAAGTGCAAATTTGCATTAAAAACCAGAAAAGAAAAAAGTTATTACAAACAAATCAAAAATTGCAAACCTCAT